TGATTTAGTGTTTCCATTCGTGCTCTTCCATTCTGACCCTGGTGTTTGTCTCAGCCCTTGTACCTGAGGCAACTTTGATCAGACAAATGTTTTCATTCTGGGCCTAAGAGAACCTTGAAAGCAGAATTAGACGAAACTCTTCAAAATTTTTGTGACCATGTATTTTTCAGAGAAAACATAGTAAGACATTTTTAATATTAAATTTAAGTTTGTTTTATATCAGTTTCAGGTCTACATCAGAATGATTCGATATGTGTGTATATTGTGAAATGATCACTATAAGAAGTCTGGTTGACATCTATCATCAAGAGTTACAAATGTGTTTCTTGTGATGAGAACTTCTAAGATTTACGCTATTAGCAACTTTCAAAATGCAATCTAGTATGATTAATTCCTTGACTCCTATAAAATAAGCACCATAAAACAATTCCAGTGCATCCATTTTATTATTAATTCACTGAATCTAATTTTTCTCAGAATCCATTAATTGTTATGCAAATGACTGAATTTGTTTTAATCTACATCATAATGTACTGACTACAGGTTCTGACATTTTAAGCTTTGTTTAGGTGTTATTTCCAGCAAGTTAACTTTCCTGAATCTTATCAGTCGTATCAAAATATATTCAGATGTATTTCTTCTTCCATCAATATTTAGTCACTGATAAAGTTGACCGTGTGCCATTTCAACCATTATCAGTTTTGTGTGCTGAGGGTGATCTTACCCAGTAGAAGACACCGTGTAGGTTCTAAGTCTCCTTGGAGGATAAACAGTGGGGGGAGGTCAAAGCATGGTACTTGTTTCATTTGCAGAGGGTCCATTTTGACTTTGCTCTTACAAAACGTGTTCTTTGTCCATTTGGGAATCTGAGGCCCAGAAAGTTGGAGGGACTGACCCAGACCTCAGGAGGGGGTCAGAATCCAGAGGATCAGGCAGGGCTCTGGCTTCCTTGGCCAAGGCTCCACCTCTTCCCTTCGGGTTTTCTTTGGAAACAGGGACCTCATGGTCCTAGGGGAGCCCTGCCCACCCCTGTCCATGTGGGGTCGTCTTCCTGTTCGCATCCAATCATGCACAGGCACACTCACACCGATTTCTCCTGTGTGGACCATGCAGGGACCCCAGGAAAGAGCAGACACCAGGGAAGTGACAAGAGGCCGAGGAGAAGGCAGTCGGGGGCAGCTCTGCCGTGAACAGTAGCATCCATCTTCCTGGCTACATGCCCAGCAGGCCCGAGATGGACTGAAGAATCCCTCAGGTTTCTAGGTGTGTACCTGTTCCAAGAGCATCCCTGGCCCAGCCTGGAGGGCACAGGACTGGGGAGCTGGAGTCTACTCCTGTGGGCACCTGCTACTCTGATGAGCCATTCTCCTCTTGTGTAGACATTGGGTAGAGGAGAGAAGACATTGGTGTCCTCCTGAGTAAAGTGGAGTGCATCCAGTGGGTGACTCCCTGGGTTCCGTATGATGCTCACGAAGTGTCTGTGGCCCTTGGTTCTCCATCGATGACGCCCTGTGCTCTGAGCACCCGGGAAAATGCGTTCCCACCTGCTGGAGATCCCTAGGAACTGAGACAGGCTTGGGGGCTTGGGTGGATGAGAACTTGGGATAAGGAAGAACATGCCAGAGCAGTGTACACTGAGTCCAGAGTCCAGGGACAAGACCAGTCCTTGTTGGAGTCCTGAGGTCCTCACTTGGCAGGAGAGGGGAATCATTGCCTTGGCTGAGGTTAGGATGCCTCCTGAGAGAAGAGGACACCCGAGTGGAGGGACAGAAAGATGGGGAGAGAGAG